CACAGCTCACATGATGATGGAAGCTGAGGTCCCAAGATCTGCTGTCTGCAAGCTGGAGAGACGGAGATTTAAGAGGGCTGAAGTGTTCATCTGCAGGCAGTCAGCATGGGGATTTCTTTCTGTCCCGTTCAGGCCCTCAGGACTGGATGAGGCCCACCCGCACTGGAGGGCAATGTACTTTACTGAGCCCACCAGTGCCAATGCTCAACTCACCAGGAACACCTCTTGCCTGACCACCTATCTGGGCAGCCCAACCCAGGAAAGTTGGCACATACACTTCTCCCTCACTCCCCATCACTCCAGTGTCTGCTTCCCCTCTGCACAGCCTGCTCCCCTTCTCCTTTCTTGTCTCCCTCTACTTCCCTCCCATAAGGATACACGCAGGGCCCAGCAGATAATCCAGAACTACCTCCTCACCTCCAGATCCTTAACTTAATCACATCTGCAAAACACTATTTATACAAGGCCACATTCAAGGTTCTTGGGATTTGAGCCAGGTATCTTTGGGGGTCACTATTCAGTCTATACAAGGGACAAAAACAATCCCACAAGACCCTGAGGCTGTGAGTGTCTGGGAGTAGGCCCCGCTCCAAGGTTGAGTGCCTGTCTTCCCAACAGGGCCAGAGAGGACCTGCTACCCTCTTTCCTCCAACAACATGCCCAGGGCTGTCTGTTCAGAGGGCAGCGAGGCCAAGTTTGCTCCTCACAATATTCTCAGGGCTGCCGCTTCCTGTACACATGAACAGCCCTCTGACTCGGCCTGAGGCTTGCACCATCCAAGACCCTGGGTGGTGACACCTTTTACACAGCAGGCAGCAGCAGGGGTGGTGGCGGCATGGGGCCCAATGCTGGTTCCTTTGCTGAGGCACTATCCCGTATGAGATGCACCAGAGAACATTCCCTCTCCAGGTGATGTGGACCTGACACAGGCGGCCCCGACACACACAGGCTGCCCCGACACAGGCTGCACTCCCCAAGCGCTCCGAGAAGCTGCTGGCATGAAACTATACAGCATGCATGTGGGTGAGAATGTGCCAGGCATGTCCAAAAGCTGCTCAGTGAAAGGCTGGTCTCACCAGCTCCACTCATGTGCATGACCACATGGCCACACGGCCACTCTGAAAAGAAAAATGAGCCCTTTGTGGGATATAAATAGCCTGGGCAGATGTGGCAGTGCCTGGGGTCCTTTCTCAGGGTTCTGGCTGGGTGCCCCACAGCTGGGCAGGCCGCAGCCCTCCATCCAGACCCCAGAGGCTGCCAAGCAAGTACAAGTGAGGTGGAGGGTGAGAGAGGCTTCCAAGGACAGCCCTCCTGGCATGGGCTACAGCATAGGGTCTCTGAAACCAGGACATGCAGGCCCAGCTGCCAACCCATCTGCTCAAGACACAGCAGCGATACGAAAAATCAGCTGCAAACGAATGCACTGCTTCTTTACCACAGAAAGCAAGGGGGACTGAGGCCTGGAGAACACAGGACCTTCAGGACTGCAGTGAGTTCAGCAGGGTAGGGCAGGGCAGGGAAGGCCTGAAGGAGAAAGGCCCAGAAACTCTGCAGAAATACGAGAACAAGAACTCTCTCTGCTGCCAGCTTCAAGGCCTCTCACAGCCAGCCTGGATGGGAGGGAGCGCAAACCTTAGCACCCTACTGCACGCCAGACCAGTGCACCTAACACACCCGACGGTGACCTCGGATGTTGCTAGAAGTCACATCCCAAGAAGCAAATGCAAGCAGACCAAGTTCACTGTAGTAACAATTTCATCCGACCCAGTGTACATGCAAATCATGATGCTCCAACATGTAATTGACACACAGATCCTGAAGGAGGCACAGCACATTCTGGATGCTGAGTCTTCCAAGTGGGCTGGGGATTTGACATCCAAGTCTCATCCCAGCTCTGACAGGCCACACTCTGAGGGCCCGTGCCAGGTGTGGTGTCCAGCCACAGGACTGGGTAGTAGTATCTACAGCAGAGAAGCAGGACAGCCCACACTCAGCTGCTGCTGTGAAGAGCCTGTTCAGAGTTTTCAGTCCCTATTGAGGGGCCCTTGGCTTGCAGCCATGGTACAGTCTTGGCTCAGGGCTGGCCCCCATCTATGTTCAGGTGGCTGGATGTTGCTCATTCTCTGTCATATCACAGCCAGTGGATGCCCCAAGGTTGTACACGTGCTTCCTCCATAATGACCTGCTGGCTGCGTCCATGGTGTATGCTTTAACACAATATGTGCTGACAACACACAGATTACCATTAAGAACAGGGGCACTTAGGTGTGTTAATGAACCCAGGACTTTCAGATCAGCACCCTCAGGACCCTGGGTGCGCATGGGGGAGGGCCCGGGGGCATTTTCGAAGGTGATAGCCCTGTGGGGCTCTAGCCATAGGACTAGGCAGGAACGGAGAGTTCCCACTGGGCCTACTGAAACATGCAGAAGTAATCATCTCCCACTTCAGTGTCATTTAATTAAATGCACAACCATCCTATTCTCAGCTCTGTAAGTATTTCAGACACTTGCTAAAAATACAGCAGACCTCCTATGAGCCAGCCCCATGTCACCACAGGTGGCACAGCCTCAGGAGCTGGGGGCACCCTGGGACTGCAGGGCAGCAGAGCAGCTCGCAGGGAGGACTACGGGATTGTGAGGAAGTAGATGGCTGGAGAAAAGGAAAGAAAATCTAAAGCCAGGCAGCACCAAAATGACAACAAAACCCCAAGTACTTCTTCTGCATTCAGCTTCTCCCCATGACCACGCTCAAGTTGAAGAGCTTGGATCTAAGAAAACAAACCACAGGCAAGTCACAGCCTCAGAAGCTGTCACTCTTGACTTCCCCAGACAGATGTCCCGGTGAAATCTGTCCTCCACCCAAGGCCTCAAAACCATGGGAGCCCATGCTGTCTAAGCTTCTGCATTCTCAGCACTGCTCAGCAGCCTGCAGGGCACTCCAGCACCCGGACCACTCCTGGCAGCTGGGCCTCCCAGAAACACCCAGTCACTGCCCTCACATGAGAGACCTTCTGGACACACCAGCTCCCTACAGAGGCCACCCTTCAATTCTCAGCTGAATTTTCAGGATGCCATCACAGAGCAGACCCACAGGGGCAACAAGAAGGACAATGCCTGTTTTGTCCCCACACTGAGGTTCCACCAAATGAAAAGCTATCTGTATCAACCATTCGCACGAGAAAAGGTCTCTGAAAAATGTTAGATGCCCTTTTGTCTGCAGACTACAATGGATCCCCTTACCCACAGGGACATGTTCCAAGACTCAGTGACAGTACTGAACATTAGTGTACTATGCTTTTCCCTGTAATTTACTAGTTCAACACAGTAAGACATTAACAATAGTAAACCAAAACAAATGTAACAAGACACTTTAGTAAGCTATGTGAGTATGTATAGTCTCTCTCTCTCAGAATATCTCATTGTACTGTCCTCAGCCTTCTGATTGATCACAGCGACTGAAGCCAGGCAAAGCAAACTCCACATGAGGGGGACCACTATATCTGTGATGTGAAAGTCAAAGCCAGAGGAGGTCTCTAAGTCCTCAGAAGGATCAGAAGGCTGAGATGCCCATGGATGGGAGCTGGAGGACTGGGGGTTTCTGCACAACTGGGTGCAGGGACTTTAATATCCTCCATGTTAAACAGAAGTCACATCTGGGAACCCCTTCTAATGCACACATGCCTGCACAAACCATTATGCCAAGCCTCTGGGGCCAGGCACAAATGGTACGGGGTCTGAGTGGCTGCACCTCCTCCAGCTGTTTCCACCAGCCAATCCTCCAGGAGGCAGATCAGTGGGGGCAGGGGTGGCTGGCCCCAACCAACCCAGACAAAGAGCTCCCTGCCTCCCCCAGTCCACTTCTCTCCTGCTCCATCCCAGCAAGTAGATAAGCCAGAAACACAAGAACCACCCACGGGGCCCCTGGGCTGGATACAGTTGCTTCCGGGAGCTGCCATGGATACCCCAGATGCTCAAGCCCAGCTTAAGTGTGACAACTGCCAAGTGACTGCAGGTGTGAGCTGAGAACACAATGTTCCCAGCCCTCGTGGGCTGCTGGCCTGTCTTGGGGTGGGGTATGGACCAGCACATGCCCTTAGGGTCAGCCACCTCACTCTGCAGTCACACGGGGCCAGGATCCTGCACAGGGATGTGCCACCACTGGCTTCGGAGGTCCTCAGCACTGTGAGGACAGGAGCATTCCCCTGCTCCCCATGTTAACAGGCAGCACCTGTGAAGCAAGTGGACCAGTCACAGTAGGGAGAGGGGGCAGCAACAGGGTTGGAGATGACCCTACCAGTGCACAGGCACCTCCCCTCACCACCCTGCACCTCAGTGTCCTCATCTGCAAATGGAAGGGTCCAGGTCCTCCCAGGGCTGCTGTGCATGGTGCAGCTCTGCACACCTGTGCTCCTGACCTCACACCAACATGAAGCCCTGTGCACTGCCCTCCATCCTGCACATTCAGGAGGCAGGAGACGTGTGAGAGCCAGCAGCCCCGGAAGCCTCCCCAGATCTCTCTGACCACCAGGCGCAGGCCTATGAGCTAGTGAGGCACCAGAGAAATAGGGCCACCTCTGCCTGCACCCCAAGGTGGGGAGACAGGCCTCCTTCAAAACCCACAAGGAAATCCTGACAGAATGGTTCCCAGGGACCAATGCAGGGGGGGGGGGTGTCCCCAGGCTGGGGCACTGACCCTAGCCCCTTCCCACCCCGCTGATCTGAGTGCAGGGCTCTCCACCCAAGTAAGTTCACCCCATACCACCTCGAAGAGGCCCCACCTACTCACTCGAGGCCATAAATAACACTGCAGCCTCAGCTCTCACATAGGCTGGAAACGTCTGAGCTTTCTGACATGCTATCTCCTTGGCTCCCTAGTCCCGGACAGGACCATGCACAGACCAGACATGGCTGCTGAGAGACAGGTGGAAGGTTGAAGACAGACCTCCTGAAGAGCCCATGCTAAAGGCAGCCACTGCGGCAGGCAAAATTTCTTCACTCACCTAATCCTCAGTGCGGGCAGACATTTCAGCAACCAGGTCTCGGTTTCCTCCCTCTGTCAGATGCAGAGTCTGAAAGTTAGAAAGGGGACATTTTAACAGGACCAACTGTTAACCAGAATCCTTTCCAATACATGCATAAACTGTGCTGAAAGTGGCCCCTGGGACCCTGGATGGGCACTGTCCAAGTGTGCTCACCTGGCCACAGAGCTGAAGGACAATGACCAGCAGAAACCCGGGGAAAGGGGTCATCGCACCTGCCCTGCTGTGTCCCTCTCCACTTCCCCCATCACTGGCCCAACACAGCGGAGCCTCCCAGAGTGAGTTCTGGGGGTACGGGGGAAAAGCTGGGGTGCGGGAGCTGTTATCAATAATCAAGTCACAATAAGGAACAACACCATAGCACAAACATTCCAATTCAGCCCCTCACTTAGAAACACGTTCTAACACAATGTCTATGCTAGTATGCAGTATTTTCAACAATTTTTCAGTTTTAAAATGATTTATGTACTTAAAAACCAAAATCAGAAGAAGAAGAGGAGACAGAGGAGAAAGGTAAAAAAGGGAGAAAAGAAACAAAAGGAATATCAAAATTTGTGGGTTTTTAGAAATAATCTTAAAGTAGGAGAAGGATTACTATGTACGACAGATAAACATCAACCTGATTGACTCGGAGACACCTATGGGATTAGTAAAGCACATTTCTGGATGTGTCTGAGGATGTCATGGAGCCCTGACCCTGAAGCTCATACGTGGCTCTGGCCCCTTCCATTCTGGCACTGTTCCCTGCTCTGCTTTGCAGCTGCCATGAGTTACACAGCTTTGCTCCACCATGCCCTTCTGCTAAGATGTTCCTGCCTTTAAACCAGTCAGGCATGGAATGAAACCTCTAAAACTGAGCAAAGATAAACTTATTCTCCTCTAAGTGTCAGTATGAGGTATTTTATCCCAGCAATAGGAAAGCTGACCAACACACTACATATCACACATAAAGGAGAAACATGAAGCAACAAACAGAAAATACAAAGAGCTCCTTCCCTGCTGGCCAAGGTCCCCTGGGCCTCCCAGGGCTCCTAACCAGAGCACAAAGCTACAAATGGCAAGTTAGGGGAGGGAGCTGTTTGGTATCATTTACGATGAAAGAAACAAAGCAGGATGATCACTTTCATCTTTCAGATGGGCAGTGACTAGAGGCGGAGGGCACCAGGGCCAGTGAAGCTAAGAGGGGCCAGGAACACCTCTAATGCAGCGGGGAGTTGGATTTACAGTGGCCCTGACCCCGGCATTCAGGATGCTCCCCGTGGTTACACACTGCTAGGGTGTGCATGTGAGCTGAGAAATTCATGTGTTGAAATTTGGCGGCCATCATGACAGTGTGAAGAGGGTGAAGACTCAATCCCCAAGTTGTGCGTTGGTGGTGTTTGGAGGGGGCATTGGGGAAATTATTAGGGTTGGATGAGGTTATGTGTGTGGGGCCTCCATGGTGGTGCTGGTGGCTTTGCAGGAAGAGGGAGATTGAGCTGCCAGGCTTGCTCTGTCTCACCCTGTGATGCCTTCACCATGTTACGATGAAGGAAGAAAGTCCTCACCAGATGCCAGCACCATGATATCAGACATCCTCACTTCCAGAACTCTAAGCCATACACTTCCTTTCCTTATAAATTACCTGATCCGTGGTATTCAGTTAATGCCACAGGAAACATACTAAGACCTGGCTCCAGAGATGTGCTCAAAGGATGTTCCCTGTATCACTGCCAGGGAAAGAGGAGCCCACAGAGGCTGACCAGAAAGTGAATACATGTTCCGTCCAAAAGCCTAAATCTAGGCAGCTGTCACAAAGAATGAGGTCTCCTGCATGGAAATAGATTGGCAGAAGGCAAAGGTGGGCTGTAGATGGCTGGCCAGGGCAGGACTATGATGCCATGTATATTGCCACACGCATGTGTAAATGGTAGACATTTACACACGGGGTATGGGGAGCCATGAAAGAGGCAAGCTCACACTGTGGAGTGCGCAGGGGTCAGAAGGCAACATAGTCACTACATCTATACACTTCTGTGTTGTTCATGTTTTCAGCCTGCACACACTGCGGACATCTGCCGCAGTCCCCTGCTTAGCAGCCCCACTTCCCCTTTTGGGGAATCCCAACTGCCCATTCAAGGTGGCACACACAGAGGAAGGCCTACTCACAGCTAGTCACACAGCTTCCCTCTGAGTCCAATGTGCCACACACACCACACATGCCTACACATATATACTCATATGTGTAGAAATACATATACACAGAACCTCCATACACACCCATGCACACATGCACATACATCTAGACACACATCCATGCATATACCTATACACAAACATGTGCCCATACATGTTCACATATACCATACTTAAATATACACAGAAGCATAAACACACATGAATGTTCATAAACATCTACGTGTGCACAAGCACACTCACACACAGACACACATTCTGTGAGCATTCCTTTTCTCTTTCCCAACAGCCTCCAACCTCTCATCCGCTGACTCAGATTCTGAGCCACAGCCACTACCTGTAGTCTCCAACAGTCTCTGGTCAAAGAGTGTCACACAGATAACCTGCAGCAGAAGTCAACGAGGTGAAGGAAAACCAGGTTTCTGGGCACCAAGAGGCACCCTGGTGCTGCAGAGCTGCAAGGCAGGCCCAGGAACATGCATCTCTAACAGGTTCCAGGAGATGATCCTGAGGGTCAGGGAGCTGCCCATTGTTAAAAGGAACAACATGTGGTCATAAGGGGCAGCATCGTGGAACTGGGGAGCAGAAGGGCTCAGTCAGTGTGTCAATGAATACCTCTTGCTCCTGCATGTACCATGCTGCAAAGTCCCTGAGCCCCCAAAACAAGAAGAAACTACAGCAGAATGTGATTTCAGGGACTGAGACTCAGATGAAAACTGAGAAAGCATCACAGGTGCAGGACGGAAGCGGACTACACTCTTACTAACAACCCAGGACTCCTGTCCTTCTGCGGGGATGAGCCCATCTTGGGAGGTCCCATACCTCTCTCCTGCAATCCATCCCTGCTCTGTTCTGATGCCCCTGCAGCCCTGGGTGCCTGGCACCTTTCTCCATCCTTGGCCAGCTTGTCACAGCCACCTAAGAGCAGGGACTGGGCCCCATGCAGGGAGGCCCAGGCAAGGTGTGTCAGGACCTGCCTGCTAATGAATAGGAGTTAGGCCAGCAGGTCAACCCTGGGATACACCCACTATATACAAGGCTATGACAGTGCTGATCTTACCCAAGTGTTGTGCTCCTGGAAAATACATCAGGTAAGAAATCCCACAAGTATCAGGTACTTGAGCAAAGATTCACCATGCCCCAGCTACAGAAACCTTTCAGAAACTACAGAAACTCTGTACTACCTAGTGACCAGCTGCAGCACTGCCTGTCCCTCTTGATCAGCAACTACAAACCATGCATAGCAAACTTGGGTCAGTTTCTCTTCTCCTCTGGCCCTTTGGACCCAAGCCAACCGCAGCCACTCCAGAGAACACACTGGTCTCATAAACATCCACTGATTGCTTCATATTCCTACCACGCCCCACAGCTGGCTCTTCCCAGCCTGGTCTACACCCCCTACAAAGCAAAACCCTCTGGCCCGACCCACAGAATGCTTGACTTATCATCAGTGCATGACAGCCTCTTCTCCTCTTGAAATAAACCTTTCTAAGAAAGCCTCTTCTTACTAACTTCCAATTTGTTTTTTATTTGAACAGTTTACAAATTACAAACCCTTGGATGCCTTAAAATGCACTGCATCCCAGACGACGACACCAGGCACCCAGGTAACATCTGATTTCTGCTTCCCTAAAGACCGGTACTCACAATTCAGGGTCATGGCTTAAGGCTCAGGGATATATCTAAAAATCTACGTCATAGCTCTTCGTGGGGGGCAGAAGAAGAGAATGGAGGTGGAGACAGGAGGAAAACCCCAGTGTCCAGACAGCCAGTGCCCAGACACCCAGTGACCTAGGTGCTACAGAAAACTCAGCATCTCCAATATCCAATTTTGTGCCCG